AGCAACATGTAGGCATCGTTCTGTTCCTTTCATCACTTAGGTAAACAAAAAGATCAAAGAAACAGTCTGCTCTTGCAGTACTACTGCAATCATGCAAAACATTTAAGAAATTCACTCAGCCTACAAATTCTGAAAGTTTTCTATTAATAAAGTCATAGTTTATTATTTCTTTTCCCCCATGCTTCTGAGTTTCCATTGTACACAAGCCAAAAAATCTTTAATAATGTCAAATAACTGTATTCACCGTATTGAACCTTAAATGTTTTGAATTTTCTGGCTGTAATAAAGATATTAATGAAATGTTAATGTATGGACAATGAGGACAGAGCATGTGTAATTAAAAAAGTAATTACTAGAATAATACATCTATACAATATTTATCATAAGAAACATTTTGGGAGAACAAGGAGCCCAAATATATTTCAGAAAAGTTAAATGTCAAGGAACAAAGAGACTATAGTGCAAAGTTATGGCCAAAAATACTGTATTTTTAACCAGCAAGATTTTTGAGGAGCATTAGCTTTTTCAACAAAAAAACCCCAAGAAACCACACCCTGTTTTTTTCCCCCAAACAAGAGACAATACATGCATTTAAATGACGCTTTAAGAATAGCAAATATGGTCTTTATTTTTTTAAACACTGCAAACTGAAAAATGTATCTGACACCCCCCCCCCGAATATATTGGTCAGATAATGATTTCCTGCAGCATGATAAATAAGGAATCCAGCAATAGACTTCAGCTTAGATCATCTTTTGAGAGAATAAAAACTACCACAAAACCAGCTTTAGAATAAGATTGATTTGGTTGAATTCTCTTGCATTTTTGACACTATCTTCAACAGCAACTTTACCCAAATAATTCTTCTATTCCTTTCTTTCCTGCAGCATGGCTGTGAAAAAGCTTGAGTGAAAGTTACAGTAAAACCCCTGTAACAAGATAAATAATCACCCACTGTTGACACATTGTTTTTCAAGATCTCTACTAAACTAACAAATTGGACAGTGACATATGACCTTAGTTGTTTATGTCCGAAGAGAGACTGTAGATACAAAAGTGAGAATGTCTAAAATAGCCATTAAATATTTACAACAGGCCATTTTAATTTCCTAACTTGTGACAGTCTCTCCAAAACATATTTACTTTACTGGTTTCTTAATTAGAGGTAGGTATTTTGTAGGCCTTGTTAATATACTGTGCACACTGTAATGCAGGATAACCATGCACAGAGCTCCAAGAACAGCAGCACATATAAATTATTTGGGCATTTTTTTTTTCCATGTGGGTTAACATGTCTTTGATTTTTATTATTCCATTATTTTGTGAAGAATGCATAACAAGGGAAGGGGCATTAGGTTGAGTAATTTGAAAGTCTTTTGCATCTTACAACCAAAAGCTCAGAGTCTAGCAATGTCTTCATATGCAGCCCTTTTACCCCGTTTTAAAGTTTTTGCAAATCATGCAGTCAGTTCTGACTGATAGCCAGCATAAATTCTCTTCTCCACTTTCAAACTTAAAAAAGTGTTTCATGATCATGTGGCAGTATCATTAAAAATTACAGTTTATACACCTTGAAAATCAAGAGAGTCTGAACTATAAAAAGTAAACTGCCCTTATAGCTTCATCATCTTATATATTTCAGGACAATGCCAGTTAGTGAAAAAAGTAAGTTTAAGGTTTCTGTAAAACACTTATTACATCTTTCTTGCACTAGTGAACACCTAGAATACACAGGTTTCCAAGATGTTTTCCTTTCCTCCTCTCCCATTTATGACATTCAATGAAATCACATTATTTTGGCAGTTAAAAGGGGTTTTGTTTTGTTTTGTTTTGTTTTTGCCTTCAGCTTCATGTTCTGAACTCAAGCACTATAATGCATAGTGGAAATCATCAATTAAAACAGCAACAGCAATGGAATATATCGCAAGTAGGAACAGCTATGTCATTTAAAAAGGAAATGTTTTTGTAAACACTGTCACACTGCAGTGCTGTGTTAGGTGACTCGTAAGACTTGCATTAGCATGCTGAATATATATTTATCAGAATATGCTCAAATGATCCAAACATCGCCACAGGTTCAACTCAATTAAAATATACCAGAAGTAGCCCAGTGGCACACACTCTTGAATTTTGCAATCACAATATATCTGTAAAGCATGAGTAAACTTCAGTTTTGTTTTTATACAAAACTTAAAACCCCATTTCCCCCCAGTATCCCATAACAAAACAAACCAAAACAAACCCCAAACCTTCATTAGACACCTTTTTTTTTTCTTCTACAGTTCTATTTATATCACTAAGTCCAAGGTAGTCAATGTATTCCCAGGTTAAAAGAAGGGATATTATCACGCACTGCAGAGTCAATGGTGGAAACAGAAGATTTGTTATGTTTATAAGCAAGATCAGGACCAATTTTATAATGACATATATAACAAGAATAACTGTTCTGATCATGTATTTAGAATGTCAGTATCACTTTTTATAACCTACAACTACCTACTTTAGCTTTATTAAATAAAATTATTTAACTCCTTAAAATTGTTAACACTAGCGACTGTTGTTAGATCTAGGGTTTCTGTAATTTCTGGAATAATGTTTAACTGATCTGATGTTCTGTATTTTCTCATGATCTTTTTAGGGAAATAGCATATTTCCATTAGTACTTATGTTCAGTAGTTTGAAATGTGTCTAAATTCACTTTTCTAATAAAGGCTATTAGAAAGATAAAATTAACTGAAGTTGAATCTGCCAAATACAAATTCATATTTAAGAGCTTATGTTCCAATCCTAGATATAATGGCATAAATTCTTCCAACAAAAACGGTTTCTACATCTATATAAAGCCCTGACAAGATTTAAGTGTTGTTTTGATTGTGAATGTCCTCTGCATGTCTCCAATTTACTTTTACTCAGGAATGTACAAATGATTTTATACAGCACAATGCTAGCGCCACTTTGTACTATAATAAACTTTTTTTGCTTTTAAAATAAAAACAACAAATCCCTATTCATAAATAAATGACAAAATTTACATTCTTCTCTTAAAAAAGTAAATAAAATAACATTATTTAAAATGTGAATTAGCTGTAAGGCATACAATACAATTACATAGATACATATAAACACAGCACATTCAGTTTGCCAAAAATTAATGATTACAAAGCCAATATGGACGCTGCCATATATATAGATAGATGTATGTGCAATGATTATAGCATTCATAATTGCACTATACCTACAATCAGTTTTCATTTCTAAGGTGTTTTATGAGGGAATAAAAAATAGCAACTGTTCTTATTGTTTTGGAGTTGGGAGGGTTAAGGATTGAAAACATCTCATTAGTATTTATTGTTAACTTTGTTACTCAACTAATAAGTCATTCTTTTTCCACCTCTCCTCCACTGCTGAGGGGCAGCAATTTCTGTGCTAAATGCACTCTAGTGCTACTTGGCATTGTAGATAATCAATCCAATTACATCTGACCTCTTGAGTTCTCTGTAGCTTGCTGGCAATCATGCACCTGGTTAAAAAAACACCTTTCAACCTAAGCTGCTCATCGATGTGTGCTACATTTTTGTTGTTAAAAATTTGCACATTTAAATTTCAAGAGTGATTTTCTCACAATTTCATTTACATTAATAAATCTTTCTAAAGAACGTCAAGAGAGGCTATTTTGCATGAAGCCTATCAAATGTCTGTGAATCGCTTAAGAGGCAACCAAGAGAAGTTCCTGAATGTGATCACTCATCAATAATTTCATGCTGTACAAAGGTGCTTTGATATTATTACAGAAAGCATTGTATGCAATCTCATGCCATCTCTGACATAAGGAGAGAGTTAAACTGTCTTCTGTACATGTATACCTAGTAGCATATTCACTCACACTGTTGTTTTTGGCATTAGAAAATGCATCACTTTCTAAAAAAGGGAACATATGAGCTGAAACTATGTTTATTTATCATTTGGCAGTTGACTCAATCAGGTCAGTTCCCAATCCATCAGTTTGGCATTTCAATTGATATCTTCTGTTTCAAAAGTATTGGTTTTATAAAAAGCCAGATTTGGCAAGATTTTATACAACAAAAATATTTTTTCTACTGTGGAAAAACACACTTTAAAAAAGCTCTAACTTAAGAAAAAATGCACACAAGTGGAATAAAAGAAAACACCACTGTTTCAGGCTGTAGCCACTGAGGAAAATGTAGTGTCCATGACATTTCTGTTTGGCATTTGTGAATAAAGAGAAAATAATGGCACATGGCAATTAAAAAGAGATTCTATGATATTTCATGAACATCCCAGGTTTGTGTCTTTATTTATTTCATTACTGTCTTCTATGCCTCTTTCTGAACTGTGAAAGTACGGTTAAATTCTGAATTCATGCACAACTATTTCTGTTTTGCAATCCCAATATTCTAGCCTCAGAAGTGAAGACAGAATGAAAACACCCATGTGAAGAATTTAAAAATCACACTATCAATACTTTTTATCCTTCAGAGAAAGTACATTCTGTAAAATTTGAATGACTGATAACTTCAGTTCTGATGTTAGCATTTTTCCCAACCAAATCACTCAACAGAAAATATTGCATTCTGAGGAATGCAACTGGGAAAACAGCCATTGTACCTTTAAAAACATAAGGGGAGGAGGAAGAAGGGAGAGAGAAAGGGTCAGGGAAAGACGAAACTCACTTGATTTTGCTTCAATAGCAAAAAACTGTTATCCTTTGTGAGTGTACGACTGAGAATTTAAAACACATTGAGTCACAAGGTTTTGCCTAAAAAATAAGAAAATGTACTGTGAATGTACTTCAGCATCTTCTTTTTTTCCTCCATATAGTTTAAATACAATCATAACATTAACTAAAAACTGTGTGGTCATTCACAGAGTCCAGGCCGGCAATAAATTAGTATTATGCAATTTGTTTTCACAGATAATACAGTCCCTCTTGTGTATCTTTAGTGATGCAGAGGTGGTCTTGGAGGGCCTCCTAGGCTCAGTTAGACCAGGTTGTACTCCTTCAGGTTTAACTGTAGGATTGTGTCCTTGACAGCAGCAAAGACAAAGCGTATATTCTCTGTGTCTGTAGCACATGTGAAGTGAGAGTAGATAATTTTGTCACTGTCTGGATTCAGGTCTACAAACATCTTCAAGATGAACTCTCGTGCCGCTTGTGCATCCCGTTGTGGTCCTGATAATTAAGAAGAGAAAGTCAGTTTTTCCTAAAGTCAATTCAATATCTGAGGTTCTTTAGGAGCACCTTAGGAGCAGAAAACAGAAGAAAGACTCAGTCTGTGATCCTCGTATAAAAGAAGAAGGGAACATTTTTACTAATAAAAACTACCATATACTATTTTTTTCCCAGTAGGAACCATTAAAAAATAAAAATGGAAGGAAATCCTAGAAGTTGATTATGCAAGAGCTGTTCGTTTCCTG